CTCAGGGGATGGTACCATAACTCTAAACCACATATAAAGGAATATTTAGAAGGTTAGAAGGCTTACAACTAGGGAAATTTGTAGCAGAAGCAAGAAATCCATTGCTTTCTAATTAAAGATGCTCAGCTGCTCCAAGAGCCGCCTCTTGGGCGAGACCAAGTGGGGGAAGGATCAGAGCAGCTACGGATGCCTGACAGAACTGCGGAGATAAAGGTGTGGACATTTCTTTTTGGTATCTGTTCATTGGTCCCTCGCTAACTGTGCACCCTCATTCTGGTGACTATAGGGGTGCCTGAGCTAGTGGGTGCCCCAGCCCCACCCTCAGAGGGTTCTACTACGCATGCACCCAGATCTTCTCGAAATTTAAAGAGACAGTTTCCACTTAAAACCAAATGTCCACAGCTGGCCCTGAAATGTTTAGAAAAAGGGCCTGAACGCGGATTGTGGAGCGGAACAGGCAGACTAAAAAGGAAATAGGCCAAAAATTAAATCCTAAGTTACGTCAAATCGACAACATGGCATCTTGAAATTTCCCAGGAAGAAGTGTGAAAAGGGAAGCCCATTTCCTGATCACATCTACCTAGAGGCAATCAGAAAGCATAAAAAATACCAAAATACATACCCATCTAAGTATTAAGGCCACAGATAATTCCTGAATATGCCCAAAAAACAGAAGCAGATAACCATATCTGCTTATGTCCAGAAACAAGATAAAGTGACTGAGGCAAATGAGCTGGAAGTAGACCTAAACTCCATACTAGAAGATGGGAAAGCTTTGGAAATGCCTGAGAAGAAATTCAGAAAAATGATTATAAAATGTATCAAAACAATATATAACAGAGCTGAGAAAAATAAGGAAGAAGTCAGGAAAGCACTACAGAACAATCAAATAAGATAGATACAGCATTGGAAACAATTCAAACACCTACAGAAAGAGATCCAGAGGATTAATAACAGTATCAGAAATGGACAATACACTGAAAGGGCAAAAGAGTAGAACTGAAGAGACAGAAGCCAGAACTAGTGAGCTAGAAGATAAATCTCTCAACACCACTAGGATAGAAGAACAAACACAAAAATGATTTTAAAAATCTGAAGAAGGCCTAAGATTCATGTTGGACAACATGAAGAGGAATAACTTAAGAATTATTGGCATTCCAGAACAGGAACAATCATATGAGTCCACAGAGGAGATAGCTGAAGAGCTTCTGGACAAAAATTATACTAACATCCTGAAAAATGAAAAGATAAGCAAGCATTCAAGAAGCTCAACGAACCCCAGGATGGATAGACCCTAAAAGACAATCACCAAGACATATAATAATCAAGCTCTCCAAAATCAAAGATAAGGACAGGATTCTGAAAGCAACCAGGGAAAAGAGAATGTAACATACAAAGGCAAGCAAATCAGATTAAGCTGGGATCTCTCAACAGAAACCATGCAGGCAAGAAGGCAATGGGGAGACATACATAAAACCCTGAAACAAAAAAACTGCCATTGAAGAATCCTCTACCCAGCAAAGCTGTCAATCAAATATGATGGTGTAATCAAAACATTCAGGTAAGCAGAAGCTAAGGGATTTTGCCAAAGCCAACCATGCTATGAAAACGTCCTAAAGGAAGTTCTGTGGACTGAGAACCAACAAGAACAGATAACAACTACAGAATGACGTATGTGGCAGCATCACCCTGAATTCAATCAAAAATGGAAGAATTAAGAACAGAATAAAATTATAAGAACAGAGAATCTGGAAGGTCAGTCTATGATCAAAACAATTACAATGTGAAAGAGGGTAAACACAGAGAAACGGAGACCCAGGTGATGGGAAGGTCAGGTAGATTACAGGATAAAATAGACTGTCTTAAATTAAGGGAAGGACTAATGGAATATAAGGTAACCACATGGGGTTGGGGTTTAGTTTGGGTGCTGGGGAGGGCAATACAAGAAGGGAAGAGGAGGCTGAAGAAAAATATAGATAAGGTACACTGAGACAGGTTTGCATGGCCTAAGTGGGATAGAGGTAAATAATGCATGCTCAACCTTGGAAATACAAGGCTCTGGGATACAGGGATCTAGGTATAGTTTGAAGAGGGGAAATAATACTAAAATCCTTAACTGCCTATGAATATTAGTTTCCCTTGCCTACTACTGTAAAATAGATACTTGAGTGGGATAGAAAAGTATGTTGGGAAACATGATTAGAGAAAACTTGTAAGCCCCTCTTCAGCCTATAGCCGACTAGAATACCTAAAAGGGGTTCTACAACTTTCCCAGTGCAATAGGCCTCTTGCAAAGCCTTTGTAGCGTACAGGACCTGAGATGCAAGAAATCCTGTGTCCCATCCAGAACCTTATGAGGTGGGACATTTAAACTAGAAAGGACAAGCAGACCAGTCTGGAACAGCTACAGTGACAGAAGATACATCTTCAAAGACAGATCAGGAAAAACCCAAAACAAAAATGTCTGCATTACTGGCTACTACAAGAATAAGCACGCTGTTCACCAAGAAGACATCAAGGTTAGCAATCCCTGTAAGTCTGAAACTCAAAGGGAACACACAAACAAGCATGTCAGCTTGCTGGCAACCAGTCGCCTACTGGTGAGTAGAGGAGAGGAAAGGCAGCAATGAAGAAATGGGCTGAGTTCAACCTCAGTCCATTGAATCCCGTTGACCTTGGAGATGAGACAGAGAAGAGGAAGGGATGGTTGATCCAAAGTGTGGTGAGAACTGAGGACACTCGAGCCCATGTACAAGGACATAGCCACAGAGGGCTGGGGCTGAGAGTGAAGCATCCAGCAGATATAGGTGAGGGGAGATGCACAAGGGCACCCAAACTTGCAGACGGTACCCTTTTGACCTAGCCTCGATGGCTCGATAGTCGGAACTCAACTAGAGGAAGATTGCAAAAAAAAAAAAAATTTTTTTTTTTGATATAGGAAACAAGGGTAAATTGCTACAATTTGATGAACCTGAGCTATACTCAGGACTCTAAATACCAAAAGAGAGGGAAGGAGTCTTCACATCAAGTATCAATGCTATCCCATCTGTACACAGGGTAGATAGGACTGGGCAACTTAGACATTGGCTACCTAAAATGAGGGGGCAATAAAGGCACAAAGTGACTGGCTTACAAGGTTTCAAGAGGCAGCTTAGTTTAAGAGTGTGGGGGGAAAGAATGAGTCCCCACTGAATAGCTGTCATCTTGTCTAGATGGGTCTGGTGAAAGGAGATGGGGATAAGATTCATAAGATTCAATAGTGAATAACTGTTATCATGACTAATCGCGACTGTCATACTTGTAAAGGTAGAAGTTTTGTAACAAAAAAAGGGGAGTGGTTGATCTTACAGTCCAGAAACGGAGGACCCTAGGAACATCAAGAAAGGAATGCACCAATAGGTGTGGGACCTTATCCAGAGAAGCAGCAGTGCAGGAGATGGAGGCAGAGATGGGGGCATGGAGAGGGGGAGCGGCTGAGGACTCTAGATTCATGGACTCAAGAAGAGAGGAACTGAGAGCTGGTGGACAGGAGGCAGACTTGCAGAATGTTCCCTTTGGGGATATAAATCATTATATATACAAAAAAAACAACAACAACAAACCCACCCTGATCTATACTCTTAAATTTCATAAAACTGACATGTGAAAATGTAAGTTCACATACTAAAGTTTTCTAAGCATATTTTAAATATTCTAACAACTGAAGTATCAATTTTTAAACTAAAATTAGCAGTTCAGTTTCTCAGTTGCTATAGCCACATTTGAAGTGCTCAATAGTCCCATGTACCTAGTGGTCATTGTGTTAGATAGCAGAGATTTACAATCCATGTCTTCTAATTCTTTAATAATCCTGCCTGAATTTCCAGTTATATTCTTAATTATACATTTCTAAGTTTTAAAAAGTTAATCACATATATATACTATGTCACACTTTGTTTTCATAAGACGTGTGTCCACTAGGCAGATAGCTATGCTTCTCTCATGTATCTACCTAAATACTGTTGTTGCTGGTGAGTGGTGTCCAATCAGTTTCAACTCACACCAATCGTGCTTATATAAGGTTTCTGATGAGAATATGGTGGATTTGAATAGCCAGTCTAGTGCTTTATCCCATAGCACCAAACCAAGATTCTACCCACCTAAATTGCTGCTGCTGTTGTTGTTTGGTGTTTTCGTATCAGTTCTTACTCATAGTGACCTGTATAGGGTTTCCAAGTAGCAGTTGGTGGACCACCAACTTTGTGGATAGCAGCCCAGTGCTTATCTTACAATGCTACAACAAGAATACAAATACCTAAATTGCTGTTAAGTACTGACAAGTTAGTTCCAAATCTTAATTGACCCTGCATAGGTTTCCCAAGGAGCGACAGATGTGTTTGAACTGCTAACCTTGTAATTCAAACTGACCTTACAGTCCAGTACTTTATCCCACAGGACTCATATATTGTAAATAGTAAACAGTCAAAATGGCACGTATATTGCACATAACATAATTAAGTTAAAAAATAATTAAAAGGCAACCACAATTCCTATTACTCTTCAAAATCAAACTTCATTTCTTTAGACTAAATTATAATAACAATGTCAAAACAAAAAAATATTGCATTATTAAAGTCACTTACCTGAATTTCAAAGATTCTAAATCCCACTGCCAAAAGCAAACGGTCCCATCTGCACCAGTAGATACCATGTATCTTTGAGAGCCTTTGGCCATTGGGCTAAACTAAAATGCAATAACATACACCATATTCAGCTTTTTGAGCGGCCGCTGAATTTATAGCTTCAATTTTTCAAGACTAATTTTGAGTATCTCAAGTAAAACACAAAGGGACTCTAAAATATAGGTGATATTACTATAGTAAAAAATTAGCTATAAAAAGGTCATTTTTATGTTAATTATACATGATTGCAATAAACATAAGATTTCCAAAACCAATGAACTAAGAAACAGGAATAGGGAAGATCTACTCTTATCTAATATTAAAACATAGCATGGAGCCTCAATAATTAAAAAAGAGTACAACAGACACAAAATACACAATAGCAAATTGCAAAGTTCAAAACTGGACCCTAATACAAGACTTAAATAAGATATAGGTACTATTCTCAAATCAGTAAATTAAATCAATGAACCCAATGGTATTAGAACAAAGCAGAAATCTAGGGGAAAATAATAAAGCAGAATTCATTCTTCAAACTTTACAAATAGATAAATCCCAAATGAGTGAATAGTTTTAATATTTAAATCATCAAAAATGTACTAAGAAATGAAACCATAAAACATAACATGAAAATTCTATTTTAACTTCATAATTGGCTTAAAATTTGTATTTATGATCTGAACAAACCTTTCACCAAAAATAATACATAAATGGTCAACAAACAAATGAAATGATGCTCATAAATCATTAAAAGCAGCAAATCAAAACCACAATGAGATACCACTTCAATCCCACTAGCATTGTCAAGATTAAACCTCATGGTACACCTGTAGTGGAAAAAAATTTGGTAGTTTCTCAAAATGCTACACAGAATGACATTACTGAAGAATTTACAAGAGCAAAGAATAACAAGATACGTTTTTAATTATAACATGTCAGAGAGACCTAAGTAAAAATATTCTATTTTGTTAGATTATTAACTTCTGATCATTAAATCTTCTTTTATGAAATGAAAAAATTACTTACACAGAGCTACCATATGACCTAACTTTATTCCTAGGTATATATACACAAGTAGCTATTTACAATAACCAAAAGGTGAAAACAACCCAAATGTCCATTAACAGAAGATTGGATAAACAAAAGGTAGTAGACACAATACATGTTCTTCTAATACTCATGTATTAAAAACTAAAATGGATTAAGTCCTGATACATGCTATAACATGTCTGAACCTTGGAAACATTTATGCTAAATAAAAGCAGTCAATCACAAAAATACAAACGTTATAATGTCTTGTTTTTGTTAAATGTCCTCAAGTCGGTTTTGATTCATTTTATCCTATGTACAAGATAACAAACCACTGTCCAGGTCCTATACCATCTTCACAATCATTACTATGTTTGAACCCATTGTTACAGCCATGTATCAATCTATCACATTGAGTGAGTCTTCATCTTTTTTCTCTACCAAGTGTCTTCATTTAGGTTCTCTACGGAAGCAAAACCAAAGGAAGTAGATTTTCATATATACAAAGAAATTTTAATCAAAGAAATGGCTCACACTGTTGTTGTTAAGTGCTGTTCAGTCAATTTCGACTCATAGTCATCCTGTATAGGGCTTCTGAGGCGCAACTGGTGGATTTGAATCATCAACCTTTTGGTTAAAAGTTTAGTGCTTATTCTACAGTTGTTTAGTGCTTATCCCACATAGTTGTATTGGCAGGCAATTCCCAAGTCATTTGTTAGATGTCAGACTGGTAGTTTCTGATTCACATAGAGGTAGAGTTGATTAATCAAAATCAGCAGGTTAGATGGCAGGCTTCTGGCTTTAGAGGTTAATGAATCCAAGCTCAGTATTTAAGACGGCAGGCTGCTAACAACTCTCAGGACTGTCAAGCAATACAGCAGGCCAATAACTCAAGTCCAAACTGTTGGGGGTCAAATAATGAGCCAGATGCAGGATCCAGATTCAGCAAAAATCAAGTTTGCCCAGGTGTCTAAAATATTGCAAGCAGGCCACACCCTTGAAAAAACGTCCTTACAATTGATTAAGCCGTCTTTCGCAGAACTCATCAATGAGATAACTACATTATATTAGATTTCATCATGGGAATTTCTGCATCTTTACTGACAAAACACTGAGTTAACTCACGTTAACACAGAATCTTAACCATCACACCAAGCATGACAGTCTTTTCAAGGGAATGGTCCACCCTGATACCATGTTCAAAGCATGTAAGATGAAGTCTTACACTTCACCCTCAGAAACATTCTAGCAGTACGTGTACCAACACAGATTTGCTCATTCTTCTGATGATCTATGATACGTTCAATACTCTTCTAAAACACAATTTGCATCAATTCCTCTATGTTTCTTATTCACTGTCAAACTTTTGAATGCATTGTAACAATTAAAAATACCAAAGGGGGAATAAAACAGAGGGAATGAAAGACAAGTGCTGTTGAATGATGATACATGGAGGGGATAGTAATCATGGCAAAGAAACGAAATATGATATGATGAATGTAAAGCTGATGTTCTCCCCCATGTCAACTAATATTCAATTCACAATAAAAACTTTAAAAAAAAAAGCCCAAGGATTGGTTCAGGCATTCAGGCACACCTTAATTCTTAAAGCATCATCTTTGCTTTTTAACACTTTAAAAAGGTCTTCTGCAACAAAGTTGCCCAATGCAATCCCCGTGTTATTTTATCGACTACTGCTTCCATGGGCACTGATTGTAAATCCAAGTAAAATGAAATCCTTGACAACTTCTGTTTATCATAATTATTTTGGGTCCACTTGTGAGGATTTTTATTTTCTTTATGTTTAGGTTTAACCACACCGAAGGCTGTAGTTCTCAAGCTTCATCAGTAAGTACTTCAAGTCCTCTTTGCTTTCAAGCAAGCAAGGTTGTGTTATCTGTATGATGCAGAATGTTCATAAATCTGACTCCAATCCAAATACTACATCCTTCTTCATATAGTCCAGTTTCTCTCAGGTTATGTGGTCAGCATATAAATTGAATACACATGATGAAAGGATACAAACTCTGACAGGCACCTTTCCTGTTTTCAAATCATCTAAGATCTTATTAAGTGCTATCAACTCAGCTCTGACTCACAGCAACCCTATGGCACAACAGAAACACTGACTTGTCCTGCTTCACCCTCACAACTGTTATTATGTTTGAGCCCATTGCTGCTGCCACTGTGTAAACCACTTAAGAGAATCTTCCTCTTTTTTGCTAAAACAGTTAGACAGAAAGGAAAGTATAAGAAAAGGAAACTAAGTAAAGGAGTAATAAGAGAAAAGGTACAAAAGTGAGAAAGAATATGGTATGTTCCAGGAACACAAAGATTTATACAACTAAAGCTGTTCCTCCATATATTTAACACGTTCTCAAACAGAGATTATGTGTGTTATGTATGTTTAAATTTTACTAAACCTAAATAGTTCAAAATATCAACCAAGAGGGAAGGAGTCTTCACATCAAGGATCAAGACTATCCCCCTCAGTACATCAGGGTTGACAGGGACAGGCAATTTAGACATTGGCTACCTAAAATGTATGGGGCTATAAAGGCACGAAAATGGCTGGCTTACAAGTTGTCAAGAGGCAGTTTAGTTTCAAAGCCTGGAGGGAAAGGTCAAATCCCCACTGAATAGTTTTTATCTTATCTAGATGGGTCTGGTAAAAGGCGATAGACTGTTTATATTCAATAGTGAATAATTGTTATCATGACTAATTACGAGTGTCCCAACTATAAATATAGAAGTGTAACAAAAAAGAGGAAGTAGTTAATCTTACATTCCAGGAACAGAGCACCCCAGGACCATCAATCAAGAGGGAAGAAAGCATTTACGGAACATGGGATCCTAACCAGAGAAGCAACAACACTGGTGATGGAGGCAGAGGTGATGGCATGGAGAGAGCAGCGGAGAACTCTAGATTCATGGAGAGAGAAAGACTGTGTGCTGGCGGGCAGGAGGCTGGCTTGCAGAATGTGCCCTTTGGTTGTTTAAACAACTGTATATTCCTGAGTGTTTTTGTGTACATAAACAAAAGAAAAAGAGAGAATAGAGGCAAACACTGTTAACCGATAGCACGTGGAGGGGATTGTAATCATTGCGATGACACAAAGTATGATTCGTTGAGTGCAAAACTGATGTTCTGCCATGTAAACTATCACTCAATTCATAATAAAAGCTTTGAAGAAATTTTTTTTGGAAACATAAAATTCACCATTTCAATCATTTTAAAATATGAACTCAGTAACATTTAAATACATTCACAATGCTGTACAAACATGACCACTATCTAGTTTCAGTGTTTTATAACTGGCAAACTGCAGAGGCATTCTAATCTAATTCTAAAAAAAAATCATTATTTCGTTTCATTACACTGACTGCAATGTCCTTCATGCACCATCAGTTAACAGTATTTATCTCCATTCACTTTAACTCTTGCACTCCTCCCTCTCTCTTCCATTACCTTCCATCATTCCTCTGCCAAACTCTTATCTTATATATTGCCTTTCCCATCACCCAAGTTAATGCGTGTATGCAGCACTACAGGATAAGCACTGGACCATAAGGTCCATTTGAACCGCAAGGTCAGCAGTTGAAACTGACTAGCTGCTCCTTGGAACACTTATACAGGGTCAATGAATCTGAATCGACTCAATGGCATTTAACACCACCACCACCTTCTTGTACTGTGGTGGTGGTGTGCCACTTGAGTAAACTCCAACTCACAGCAACCCTGTATCGGGATTCTGAGGCTGTAAATCTTTGAGAGCAGAAAGGCTCATCTTTCTTCCATGAAGAGCCTGGTGGACTTGAACTCCTGGCCTTGCAGGTAACAGTGCAACACATAACCCACGATGCTACCAAGGCTATAAAAGGAAACATTTACATTGATCAGGAATCGAACCTGTGTCAACTGCTTGGAAGGCAAATATGCTCACCACTATTATCACCAACACCTCTAGCCAGTGAATAACTTTCCCTTCCCTCTCACCCCTCGAAACCGTCATAGAATGTTTCTTTACTCAAG